TGTAGAATTATATGTAGAAAACCCTAAAGATGTCACCAGAAAACTACTAGAGCTAATAAATGAATTTGGTAAAGTAGCATGATACATAATTAATGCACAGAAATCTCCTGCCTTCCTATACACTAACAACAAAAAATCAGAAAGAGAAATCAAGGAAATACTCGCATTTACCACTGCAAGAGAAAGAATAAAATACCTAGGAATAAACTTACCTCAGGAGGCAAAAGTCCTATATGAAGAAAATTTTAAGTCACTCATAAAAGAAATCAAAGACGGTACAAACAGATGGAAAGATATACCATGTTCTTGAAGTGGAATAATAAACATTGTGAAAATGACTATACTACTCAAAGAAATCTACAGATTCAGTGCAATCCCTATCAAACTACCAATGGCATTTTTCACAGAACTAGAACAAAACACTTCACAATTTGTATGGAAACAAAAAAGACCCTGAATAAACAAAACTGTCTTGAGAAAGAGAAATGGAGCTGGAAGAATCAGGCTCCCTGACTTCAGACTATACTACAAACCCACAGTAATCAAGAGAGTAAGGTACTGGCACAAAAACAGAAATGTATATCAGTGGAACAGGATAGAAAGCCCAGAGATAAACCCAGGCATATATGGTCAGCTTATATTTGGCAAAGGAGGCAAGAACATACAATGGAGAAAAGAGAGCCTCTTCAATAAGTGGAGCTGGGAAAACCGGGTAGCTACCTGTAAAAGAATGAAATTAGAACACTCCCTAACACCATACATAAAAATAAACTAAAAATAGATTAAAGACCTAAATGTAAAGCCAGACATCATAAAACTCTTAGAGGAAAACATAAGTGGAACACTCTGACATAAATCACAGCAAAATCTTTTTTGAGCCACCTCGTAGAGTAATGGTCCCAAGAATAAGCAAATGCGACCTAATGAAACTTAAAAGTTTTTGCACAGCAAAGGAAACCATAAACAAGACAAAAATATAACCCTCAGAATGGGAGAAAATATTTGCAAATGAAGCAACTGACAAAGGATAAATCTCCAAAATATACAAGCAGCTCACGCAGCTCAATATCAAAAAACCCCCACAAAAAACCCAATCCAAAACTGGGTGGAAGACCTAAATAGACAAAAAAAATAGGCAAAGAAGATATACAGATTGCCAACAAACACATGAAAAGATGATTAACATCATTAATCTTTAGAGAAATGCAAATCAAAACCACAATGAGGTATCACCTCATACCAGTCAGGATGGCCATCATCAAAAAATCTACAAACAATAAATACTGGAGAGGGTGTGGAGAAAAGGGAACCCTCTTGCACTGTTGGTTGGAATATAAATGGATACAGCCACTATGGAGAACGTTATGGAGGTTCCTTAGAAAACTAAAAATAGGGCTACCATATGACCCAGCCATTCCACTACTGGGCATATACACTGAGAAAACCATAATTCAAAAAATACATGTACCACAATGTTCATTGTAGCACTATTTACAATTTCCAGGACATGGAAGCAACCTAAAAGTCCATCGATAGTTGAATGGATGAAGAAGGTGTGGCACATATATACAATGGAATATTACTCAGCCATAAAAAGGAATGAAATTGAGTTATTTGTAGTGAGGGTGATGGACCTAGTGTCTGTTATACAGAGTGAAGTAAGTCAGAAAGAGAAAAACAAATACCTTATGCTAATGCACATATATGGAATCTAAGAAAATGGTACTGATGAACTTAGTGGCAGGGCAGGAATAAAGGCTCAGTTGTAGAGAACGGACTTGAGGATACAGTGGGTGAAGGGGAAGCTGGGACAAAGTGAGAGAGTAGCATTGACATATATACACTACCAAATGTACAATGGATGGTTAGTGGGAACCTGCTGCATAGCACAGGGTGATCAGCTCGATGCTTTGTGACGACGTAGATGGGTGGGATAGGGGGGATGGGAAGGAAGCTCAAGAAAGAGTGGGTATGGTTATATATGTATAGTTATAGCTTATTCACTTTGTTGTACAACAGAAACTAACAACTTTGTAAACAATTATACTCCAATAAAGAAATTAAAAAAGATAAAACAGCACTGTACTGGCAAAAAAAGTTAAACAAAATAAAACCCCACATATATTGATGGAACTGAATAGAGAACCAAGAAATAAACCCACATGCCTGTGGTCAGTTAATCTATGGCAAAGGAGGCAAGAATACACAATGAAGAAAAGACAGTTGCTTCAATAAATGGTGCTGGGAAAACTGGACAGCGCCTGTAAAAGAATGCAATTAGAAATTCCTCACATCATATACAAAAATAAACTCACAATGGATTAACGACTGAAATGTATGACCTGAAACCAAAAAAAGTTCCTAGAAGAGCTCATAGGCAGGACACTCTTTGACATAAATCATAGAATATTTTTTGGTTCTGTCTTCTAAGGCAAAAAAGATAAATAAATAAAAGGAAAATAAACAAAGTGGATCTAATTAAATTTAAAAGATTTTGCACAGCAAATGAAACCATCAAGATAATGAAAAGACAACTTACTGAATGGCAGGGGAGAAATATTTGTAAATGCTATGACCGATAAGGGGTCAATGTCCAAATTATATAAACTACTGATATATCTCCATAGCAAAACAACAAACAATCCAATTAAAAATGAGCAGAACACCTGAATAGACATTTTTCCCAAAGAAGATGTAAAGATGGCTAACAGGCTCATTAAAAGATGCTCAACATCACTAAGCATTAAAGAAATGTAGATCAGAACAACAATGAGATATCCCCTCACATCTGTCAGAATGGCTAGTTTCAAAGTCTACAAATAACAAATATTGGTAAGCATGTGGAGAAAAGGGAACACTTGTACACCATTGGTGAGAATGTAAGTTGGTGCAGCCACTATGGAGAACAGTATGGAAATTTCTCAAAAAACTAAAAATAGAACTATCATATGATCCAGAAGTTTCACTCCTGTCTATCATATGATCCAGAAATTTCACTCCTGTGTATGGATTCAAAAGAAATGAAAACACTAATTCAAAAACATACATGCACCCCAAAGTTGATTTACAATTGGAAACATATGGAAGCAACACAATTTCCATCAGCAAATTAATGGATAAAGGAAATATGGTGTATATACACAATGGAATATCACTCAGCCATAAAAAACAATGAAATTCTGTCATTTGCATCAACATGGATGGATGTAGAGAATATTATGTTCAGTGTCATAAGTCAGATAGAGAAATACTGTATAATATCACTTACATATGGAATTTTAAAAATAATACAAAAAAATGTATATAGAAAGCAAGAAACAGATTCACATTTATAGAAAACAAACTAGTTGTTAGCAGATGGGAGATGGAAAGGGGGATGGTCAAGTTAGGGATATGGGATTAAGAGCTGTATAAAATATGTAATTAACAAGGATATATCATATAGCACAGGGAATTATAGCCATTATCTTTTACTTACTTTTAATAGAGTATAATCTGTAAAAATACTGAATTGCTGTGCTGTGCACCCAAAACTAATATAATATTGCAAATCAATTATATTTCAATAAAAAAATTTAAAAAGACAAAGACCAAAAAATGTAAATAAAAGCAATGTTGTAATTATTTTCATAGTTGGTGACTAAACTGGCTTTAATTATTTGGATATGCATCGTTTGGGCATGACTTTAAGGTCCATTACCACTATATTTAATAGATCTAAAAAAATGAGTTATTCTCTCAGAATCTCACAGTAAAACCTTTAATTAAAAATGTAACACAGATAAGAGAAAAAGCAACACACCACATTATCAGTGACTCTAAATTGATGCTTTATGTAGTGTCACTAAAGTGAATAAACTTTGGTTCTAGCAAGCAAGGAACTACAGATTTTATGTCACTCAAATTGAAATTTGAGAAATGGAAATTGGGACTTCCAACTTGTTTTCATCTTCTCTAAAAGTGCTTAAAGAATGAACTATCTGTCAAAAATCCCTCATGTGGTTAACAGATCAGGAGAGAAGTTTAAATATTTATATATTTAAAAAAATAACTAGCTCTGAAAAGCAGTATGTTATAAATCACAAATGAGCAGCAGAGAAAATAAATTGTATCAGGATCCAGAAGAGGGATCAATCACATTTGGAATAAGCCAGATGCCTATTTTGATTCTGTGATAATGACGAAATTGTCTGTCATCTTTTAAACCAGATCTGGTCATTTCTTTTATTGGTGGTATGTACCATTTTCCTTAATGTTTGCTGAGCCAATGGATGCAAAACTAAAAAGGTGACACCATAGTAGAAAAAGCAGCTGAAGATTTTGTTTTCTTCCCTAAAAATTAGAAGAAAAATATGATATCCCCTTTAAACTACTAAGATCATCACTTATACTAACAGGATATAAGAGCCATTATTATCTATGTGGAAGCTGAAAATTCAAAGTAAATATTGGTCAGTTCATATGTCTAAATACTACTCTGAATATTACTCTGAATGAGCCAAACAAGATTTAAAGTAGACTCAGATGTATCTGTGCATGGCTCTTTTTTCAATGGCATTGGATACTGGTTCATCTTAGTTTAGCTTTCTTCTTCGTTCTCCTATCTCACATAATGGAGAAGGCCATTCCATGGTCATCACAGCTAAAATAAAGACCATGGTGTTTTTGTATTATGAAAAATAATGCTTTGTGAATCAAGTTTGGTCTATGTCAGTGCTTCTCAAACTCTTTAGACTTAGTACAATTTTACACTTTTAAAAAATTATAGATCCCAAAGAGCTTTTGTCTATGTGGGTTATATCTATCAGTATTTACTATATAACAGTTTAAAACTAACATATTAAATATTTATAAATTGTTTTACAAATTACAATTATATACCTATTATATATTAAATTAGAATGATGACATCATCAGACATCATGTATCTTTGGGAAAATTCCACTGTGCTTATGAGAGAATGAGAGTAAAAACGGCTATTAATAATGTCTTGGGGGACTTCCCTGGTGGTCCAGTGGTTAAGACTCTGCACTCTTAATCCAGGGCACCCAGGTTTGATCCCTGGTCAGGGAACTAGATCCTGCATGCCACAACTAAGAGCCCATATGCTGCTACTAAGAGCCTGCATGCCACAACTAAAGGAACATGCATGATGCAACTAAAAGATCCCGCACGCGGCAACAAAGATCCTGCATGCCACAACTAAGACCCAGCACAGCCAAATAAATAAATAAATATTTAAAATAATAATAATGCTTGGTGTTATTATGAAAATAGTTCTGATCTCACAGTTCCCCTGAAAATGTTTTGGAGACTCCTAGGGGGTTCACAAATCATGCTTTGAGAACTAAAACATGCTTTGGTCTAAATAATATTCCAAATCTTCTTGATTTTGCCTTTTGTCTTGAAGTTCCAGAACACAGACTTCATCTGTATATAAGGTTCATGCAAAATATCAAAGTAAATAGATGTCTCATAAGTGAAAAACTGTGTTACTCTTTTATGTTCTTTCTTGACTAATCAACAGCTCTGGGTGTGAACAGTCAGGTTCAGAAGATATTTTGCTCATTAAGAAAAATATCAAAATACATTCGTTACTTCATAATGTATCCTATCTCTTCTATCCACTTCCTAAAATGTTATATCCTCATCTGCAAGGTAAAATTAGCAAAGATAATAAAATATGTCTCAGGTAGGGTGGTCATAAGTCTTTGGATAAATTGATATCAAAAAGTCATCTTTCCAGATAACTAGAATAAGTACCTAGCAAATGAGTTTTCCAGATGGCCAATCCGAAGTGCCCCCTAAACAAACTTGACCCCTAAAACTTATAACAATTGTAAAATGTGTAGATCAAGGAAAGACTTCTTGTAGTTCAAAATCCTATAAAAACTTGTGGTAACAGTTCCCATACCTTGTGCTTAATATTTTCCAGAAGGTTGGCTTACCCCTTGCTGAAGAATGAATGTTGAAATTCCATACTTTCTTCTCCTGGTCAGTCATCCCATTCTCCAATGCAATCACCTTTCAGAGACCATCTATTAGAAAATAAAAACTCAAGAAAAAAAAAAAAGCAAAGCAAGACCAAAAGCCCCAAATGTATTAAAATAACCTCTGACAAGAGAGTTGAAAATCACCAGAATAAATAAGCAATAAAGCAAAATATTTGACTGCTACAAAGTATTAAATTGGTGGATAATAATAGCCTAATCTTCAAATTTGGGAACTTAGATCTCAATAGCTTATTTTACTGTATTTTTATAGAACTTATAAGTTACTCTAGGGTACAAGTGGGAAAGCATGGACAATTTAAATCTATATATAATCCTCAAGCCTTTAACCAATAATTTCAGATTTCTTCTATATCCACTATATCTTTTCTGAGGATTATTGAGTGGGAGTAAAATTAACTGATTTGAGTTTCATCTCCTTTTCGTGTCCTGCTAACTCTGGAAAAGACTTTGAGGCAAGCAGTATGGGAAAGAAAGAGAAACAAAGGGACTTTGAGATATGGCCAACTAGATCATCTCCTCCTGAATAATCAAGAATTGGATGTATTATGTCTATGTATGTATTTTTAATGTAAGAAAAATCACAACTGTTACTGTATAACTAATTCAGAGGTGCCAAAATAACAATCAGTAACATACACTATTTGAAAAGAACAGAAATGCTACTTTCCAGATGCAGTCTAGCATACTGATCAATAGGGAGTCAGAAAAAGATGGCAATAGGAGTATAATGTGGGGTATTGAATTATTTGTGGAAAATATATATGGTTTACCAATCCTATTTCTTTAAGCTCATGTAGGAATCTGGATTCACGAACACAAACAGATTTTTAGTTCACAGAAACTAAGCAAGTAAAGGATAAAAGTATACCCATAGTTGCCAGCTACAATATGTATATATAAAAATGCTATTTCTGAAGCATTTCTGTTTCCTCATGTGTTAAGAAGCTTAGTTTTCCTTTTGTATCTTCCCTCGGGAAGGTAGTTGTTTCCAAAGACATCGAGAGAGATTCTGTCTTATTTCTGTTTATGAACACTGCTTTTAAACGCCCTGATTGGGATGTGAAGCTCATCCCTTACATCATTGTAGTCTAGCAGCAATACTTGGTATATAGTAAGCCTCTTCTTGGGCTTAAAATATCACTCATCACTGTTTTGTTAGGTAGCATAAGGGAACTTCTTATCCTATACTGAAACACAATTCTGAAGAATGACTGATATTTAGGCTTTTGTGTCATCTTCCTAGCTTTCAGAATTTCTTACATTGCTAGGAAAAAACTACAGCTGTATTTTAATGAAAAGCAACCTCATTTTTATAATACTTTCTTTGGAATATTAGACTTTGAACATTCACATGTCAATTCATCTGAGTAGTGGCAACTGTCTTCTGGGACTTAATCAGCTTCTATTTCTTGGTTAACCTGGAACAATAAAGTCTTCTTCCTATAAAAAAGCTAGAAAATAGACCATATTATACCATCTTCAAATCCCTTTACTGACTTAAATTGGATATGGGAAGAAAACAGAATCTTTTCCCTTATCATTTTTTAGGTGCTGATCACTATATTTTCCCCACTTTTTAGTGGTTTCCCTCTTTTTACCCTTAACCATGGGCCCCACTATCTTCTCGGCACTCATCAAAGCTTTTAAAATCTTGAATTTTCCACACCTTCCAAAAAGAAAACATTTTGCCATGGAAAAAAAGACATATTATAGTCTCCTTTCTTTTGCATCCTATCCTTCTAAAGGGTAGTCAGGACCCTCTTGAGTAGACCTTACACTTTTCCTTTTATGATTATATGCATAGCCTACCTAAGTATATTTTCCTGACTAATACCCAAAGGGCATTTTCTAGATGGTATCTGTCCTCCATGCAAGGCATGTATTCATAGTCCAGGGACCCTGCTGGTGTTTACTAAGATAAATAATAAATTTAATGATAATTTTCTGGTATAGGAAAATCACCATTAGCTTTGAAATGAGAACCATCCCTGAGGTTTTCTTGGCATATATATCCAAAGCAAAAAATATAATTAAGGTAAACTGAACCTGACCTCCTATTTTAGGAGGAAAGGGGTTAAACATGGGGAGCTGCAAGTCTATATCCAATTAATAGGGGGGCGTTGTCAGAATGTATTTTAAAGAGAGACATATTTCAGGAATTACTTTCTGAAATAAGTTCTCCATCATGTGATGAGAAATTTAACATTTCATTTCCAATTATAGCACCCTCTACTGGAATGGATAGCATAAAAATTAATAACTTGGGGTTCTTATTTTTCACATTGAGAACCCATATTTTTATTTTTTCCAACTCTATTGAGATATAATTGACATATAACACTGTGTAAGTTTAATGTGTACATCGTGTTGATTTGAAACACATATTGCAAAATGATTACCACCATAATGTTAGCTAAGACTCCCATCACGTCACATAATTACTATTTTTTTGTATGAGAACTTTTAAGATTTACTCTCTTAGCAACATTCAAGTGTATAATACGGTATTATTAACTATAATCACTATGCTATACATTAGATCCCCAGAACTATTCATCTTATAACTGGAAGTTTGTACTCTTTGATCAACATCTTCCATTTTCCCTTATCCCCCAGCCCCTGGTAGCCCCCATTCTAATCTCTGTTTCTATGAGTTTGGCTTTTTTAGATTTCTCATGTAAGTGATATGCAACTATTTGTCTTTCTATATCTGACTTATTTCACTTATCATAATGCCTTCAAAGTCTGTCCATGTTGTGCAGGATGTCTTTCTTTCTCATGAGATTATATATATATATATATATATATATATATATATATATATATAAAAAATATAACATATATATATATATATAAGTAACATCTTTTTTATTCATTCATCATTGAGGGACACGGGTTTTTCTTCCATATTTTGGCTCTTGTGAATAATGCTGCACTCCTATGTACAAATAGGAGTTCAGATATCTCTTTGAGATACTGTTTTCATTTTCTTTGGGTATATACCCAGACCTAGGATTGCTGGATCATGTGGTAGTTATATTTTTAATTTTTTGAGGAACAACCATACTGTTTTCCAAAGTGGTTGCTCTAATTTACATTTCCATCAACATTGTACAAAGGGGTCCCTTTTCTCCACATCCTCACCAACACTTGACATCTCTTGTCTTTTTGATAATGGCCATTCTAACAGGTGTGAGACAATATCTCATTGTGGTTTTGATTTGCATTTTGCTGCAGATGAGTGACCTTGAACATCTTTTCATGTACCTGTTGGCCATTTGTAGGTTGAGAACTCATATTTTTAAAAGAAAGATGTATTTACTTCTTACTTAGAATATATTCAGAATCAAACAAGCTCATGTACCCCAAAGGCCACTCCTCTTTAAAATTTTTACTTTTCCTATTATTCATCTACTTAACCAACATTTATGGAACACTCACTCCATCTCAGGTAGTTGGCTAAGATTGATGAAGAAGATACAGGCCAATAAGATGAAATTTCTGTCTGTAAGAAGCTAACAATTTAGCATGGAGGGAAAATAAATTCATAACTAATACAACAAGGCTGAATACCAGAATAATGGCATGGACAAGTGCTTGGGAGCATGTCGTAGGGAACAATGACTTATTCTCAGGGTGGGTGGGATTATATGAAGGGTCTTTAGAAAAAACAAAACAAGGAAATTCAGACTTGTCTGTCTAGGAAACGAAACTGCCATGGGAATAAAAATGCTCCCATAGAATTCCAGAAGAAGAAAACCTACATTAGGACATTTGATAAATACAATATATATTGCCTTACTTTTAAAAACCCTATTGACATGTTGAACACCGAAAATGAAAAAGAATATCTAAAGAAAAAGCTAAGTCAGTTGAGAGCTGATCATAAGCAGATGCAGTTTTCCTTAACAACTGTGAATTATCAGGAAACAAAACTGTGAGAAATAAATGCTGCTCACCAAATGCATTTCTAAAGTAGAGATTTCTGAAACTTGTCTATAACATCAGCTGAATAATTTGTTTATAAATTGACTATAAAACAGAAAATTATTCAACCAT